GGCCGCCACTTTGCCAGGCTTCTAAGGGGAGAGCACCCTCCGACAGTTGTGGACACTCCAACTTCAAGGCAAGTAGTAGTAGTAGTAGTAGTAGTAGTAGCAGCAGCAGTAGTAGTGGTGGTGGTGGTGGTAGCAGTAGTAGTAGCAGTAGTAGTTGTAGTCGTCGTCGTCGTCGTCGTCGTATTATTATTATTATTAATATTATTATTAATATTATTATTATTAGTAGTAGTAGTAGTAGTAGGAGAAGAAGAAGAAGTGAAAGTGGTAGTAGCCGATACTGATAATCGTGATAGTCAGTAGTCGTAGTGATCGAGGCTGAAGATGTTTGGATTGTTTTGTTCACCTCGTTAGATCTCGAAAGCTTTGGAATCCTTTCGGCAGCTTCCGTTCAGGAAATCTTGTGCAGGGGCCTGCTACATAGTTCAGACGTTCGCGGAACAGTCCGCGGACCTTGTCACCAGCAGATGAGTTCCCTGGCATCTTCAGGTTTGCCCTGCCTTCGGCCGTCGGACCACTCGAAAGCCCCTTCTCCGTGTTTCTTGTCGTAGTAGTACCTCGCAGAATGCCCCTCCACGCATTCCTCTCGTCTCCATGCAAGCTGCTTGGAAAGGTGCTCTGAGTCGGCCACTCGCCCTTGTAGGAGCGACCGTCGGGCCAATTGAATGTGCCTGACAAAGAAAGCTCGGACTCCAACCAACCAAAAAGGCCCCTTCACCCGTGCGTAGTGGAAGGTTTTCTTCTAGCAGAGCGTCTGACAGTTCAGCCTTGATCGGTGCGATTTTGTCGCTCGTGTTCGCCGCCATAGTGCCCGAACGCAAGAAGTTTGCGCAGTGATCTCACGGATGCGACATCTGCATTATAATAGCTCTAAACTGGACGAAAAGAGGCACTGCCGCAGCGCCTCTAGTGCTAAGGAAGCATGAAAAGCGATCGGAGGCAGTGCCAGGCGAACTCAAAAGAGGCACCGGCATAGACAGGAAGTGATCGCGAGCGCAAGCTGGTGTAGCAGAGCTGACGCGATCGGTGAAGCCCAGGTCATTCATACACATGCAACTGGTACCTATGCACATCTCTGGAGGCACAGTAGGACGGGCTGTGGCTCCAAGATCAGCAGAAAGTCCAAGCAGGGACAACTCGCACTTTTTGGGGAATTTCTGCTGGTTTTCTATATCCCACCTGCTCCATGCATCTGGTTTGCCACCCACCTGGAGAAGCTACTGGGTCTCTCTTCTTGTGGCTTGGAGTTTGAAAGGTGGCTTTATAACAAAGAGCTCGGGCAAAAGTTCACAAGTGAGATGTGAGACTCAAGTAAAAGAGCCGCAGCCACCTACGAGGTAACTGAAACAGGTACCGCAGCTCAGTCTCGATGACCGGTGGTAAAAACAAAGCTAGTGGAGCCGTAGCCGTGCCCTCCAGGCTACAATCGCATGGCACGTGGTCATGGGCTTCTGCTCTCCGATGGCATCGTCGGGTTTGAGTCTACAAGGCTCCGAAGCATGCGCCCCATAAAGCTGTTCCTGCGACGACCGAAGGATGGAGTTGTCAGAGTTCCGGTTGATGAATGACACATTAGTCTGATCTGCGTTTTGATGATTTTGATTCTCTAGACTCTATAGCCCAGCGAGATGACTTCAGACCCTGCTTCAATACCGGACGACTCTCGGAAAATAGAAGCAGTTTCTGGCCCGCACGCAGCCCTTTGCTCTAAACACTTTCCTTTCCGCCTCAAGGGTAGCTTTATAGCCCCGTTGCCTTCAGAAACCTCGGAGGCCCTGAGGGAGCGGCTGTCCCTGAAAGCGCCGCCCGTCCGCCCAAATATACTCGCCTCAGGGTGGTTTTTGGAGTCTTGGCGGAGACTTGGTAAAGCCTCCACCGGGCTTTAACATCCATGCTCACTAAGGCTAATCAGGGTCCAGCATGCGGGAAGTTGTTTCTGCAGGTCGTCGCAATCACTTTCTGCTCGCCACTCCATGCGCATATATATATATATAACTCCGTCAAAAACCAGGCAACCAAAACGAAGTGTCTACATCGACCCAAAACCCAAAACGCTCGAAACAGCACAACGTACTCGCAACAGCTCACTTCCCCTATACATCCCTACCTCCAGTCACCCCCTTTCTTTTGGGTTTAGGGTTTACGGCTAAGTTTACGGGGGGGGAATCTGATACCAGAATAAGACCGTCGCCGTCGCCGTGAATTTGCTTCTTCAAGAAGCCACCACGGTAAGAAGACCTGGAGAGTTCGGGCTGGCGTGCTGCAAGAGTTGCTGACATTGTCTGATGTCGGCCGACAGAAACGTTAAACCAATAAAGCGAGGAAGACAGGAATACATGCGTATTGCAGAGGATAGATAGTTGATCGCCCAACCATCAGATCGGGTCAGAGAGAGCATCAACCAAATACGTTGGGATCGCATGCGACTTTCTCATGGCTTTTGTGGGACAAGGAACTGTGCCGGACACACTCCTTGCTTGGTACCGGGGACTACACTGCTTGGCGCTACTCACCGCTGCTTCCAGGCCGAAAAGCTTAGTGCTCGTCTTCCGCAGGATGCCTTCTGTGACCAGCATTGGCACGTATGCTGCTTACAAACATGACCTGCTCTGCACCACAAAGCACGCCATGCACACAGAGACAAGCACGACAGCGACGACCACGGGAAGCAACGATCACCTCGAGTCGAAGCCAACACAAACTCAGCCATGAACCACAGCATAGGATCATGTCTGGCTCGGGATCCCGGCCCGTCCGCCCACAGCAGCTCTCCATAGCCAGACTTCTCTCCCCGCACGTAGTAGCCTGAGTACCTTCCAATCGGCAGCTTCCCTTTGGCAGCACTGGCAGGCTCAATAGCAGTCTCGAGATCAGTTTGGATGTCGCCCTGTTTTTGTTTACAGCTAATGACATCATGGTCTATCTCAGCTATCCTTCGAAGTTTGAGCATGCTTCGGGAGGCATCTTGCCTGGAGATGCACGCAAAGACTAGTTTTGCGCTAGGCAAGACTATGGCGCAATTGTGGGTTACAGTAGTGACAAGGGATACCCCGACGGTATCGCTTACAGGTTTTGCGACTGGAGACCCGAAGCTGACTGCTTAATCCGTTTAGAGACTGTATCAGTATCACGGCATCCGAAACCCGACGATGCAAGAGCGAAGGTGTACTGAAGGTGCACTAACTAACGCGTGAGCTGAGCTCCTTTCGCAAACCTTCTCCTTCCCAAAGCTCTCTCTGGACTTGCAGGAACGGCAGCCAGCAAGGGCTGCAGCAATGCAGGACTGCAGGCACGGAAGTACAGGCTATAAGAGCAACAAAACAGCACGTGGGGCTTCAAGAGCTGAAGGCTGCAGCAACTGCAAAGACAGGACTGCAGGGTGTGTGGTCTGTCAAGGGAAGGGTGAACGAAGCAGAGGAATTGGACGAGAATGGATATTCGCGCCAGAAATATGAGTACCTCGTTATTCGGGCGGGAGAGGTTTAATTTACTAAGAGGATAAAGGGCTTAGCTTTCAGCGATTGGGAAACTGTGATTTGATGGAGCGTCTCATCTTCCTCTGGAGATGGGCCCAGAAATTACAATCTCAGAATTAAGGCGGGCCTCGTGCCATCAGGCCAAGCTTCCTCGCCGAAGCCGTGCTTCTGATCCTCTCTGAGTACCGAACTATATGTACATGTAGTGTAACATCTAGCTTGTACGATAAAAACGAGATACTGGATGTGATATCTCATGGTCATCATGCTGACCATAATCATGATTTGTGTACGCACAAACACAGGAAAAATGAATAAACTAATCAGTAACCAAATCAATGTATAAATCAATCAATCAATCAATCAATCAATCAATCAAACAGCCGATCAATCAATCAACCAACCAATCAATCCATCACTCAATCAGTCAGCCAATCAATCATTCAAACAATCAATCAATCAATGAACCAGTCAGCCAAACCAAATCACATCAAATCAAATCAAATACACTCCATCCATCCATCCATCCATCAATCAATCAATGAACAGAATAATATACTATATGTAGTATAGTTTATATTTTACATGTACGCTGCAGACAAACTGAATATGTATATGATTGATATATATATATATATGCGTATTTGCATGTATGTATGTATGTATGTATGTATGTACGTATCTATGTATGTATGTATGTATGTATGAATGTATGTGTATAATATGTATAAAACAGGTGTATGCGAACATACATACACATGTACATATGCGTATACATCTATATGTGCGTCTGCAGCCTTTGAAGCAGCTCTGATTCCGAAACTGCTGTGGGGTGGAGGAGAACAGGTATCGACCCAAATGCACATGTCGTACGTACCTGGGGCCTGGGGACAGGTTCACGTGAAGCTCCGGGTTGAGAGCTTTGCCTGTAAGACTCAATCCCAAACCCTCCAGGTACCCACTATATAGGGCCCTAGGGGCTCTAGTACCCCTATATAGTAGGTACTTGGGGGGTTAGGGTATAGCCTTCTTGACTTAAAAGGCTACGGCTTCAGAGCTTATCCGCAAGGCTTCCGTTACGAGGGATTCAGGAAGTTTCACGCCTCAGCTTCCAAACGAAAGTATCGCTACGGGACTAGGTGAAACTTGTGCCGGCATGCCATCCTGCTGCCACTCGCCGACGTATTTTGCACCTCCAATCTGCTGGTACGTGCCTGGCATGGCTGACATGGGAATGCTCTTCGGGACTCTGGGGTCGGATTCATGGCCATCTGTGGTCCGGCCGCCATGAATCTGACGGGAGTCAGCATGATCCTCTTCCTCTCTGAAGGACATTGCCCGAGCCAATGCAAGGCCGTAGAAGCTCCACGACTGTTCGTCACGTGATGGCATGCTTCAAGTGGTCAACGAAGATGGAACGTCCGACTGCCCGGCCTGTGCAGCACCCTCTATCCTGCCCCGACATCTCGGGCCTTTGCCGTGCGCGGCTCCGGTATCAAACTCGCCTTCGTAGAAGTCCCCATTCTGGTGCTCAAACCTGCCACCGAACTGCATATCTCATGCCTTCGAAATTAACCACCACGACTGCAGTCGGGCTGCGCCTTCGTCCTGTAAACCTGTGACCACGGTTACGTAGCTTGTCTCGGGCATGTGCTAGCACTCATGCAGTAGCCGCTCAGTAATTAGCCATGGACAAAACGAGACCAACCGCTTACACAGGCATAGCCGCTCTACATCTGCAAAGCTGGTCGCACCGTGCAAGAAGAGTACATAGACTTCACGCAAAACAAGAACGCTCTATCTAACCGACACCATGGAAGCGCATTTCTGAGGACGTAAGTCGTTGTTTCGAACGAAGCAAGTCCACCAATGACGTGACAAGAAGCGCCGAAACTTCCGAGAAGTGCGTCAAGCAGAGCGATGAACGCTGAAATGTCGTTGAGCGTATCAGAACAGGATGTCGCCGCTAATTCTTGAGAACGACGATGCTGCGCAATCTGTGAATTCAGGGTGTCAGGGTCATGCACTGGCCTCCCGTTGCCATGAAACTGGTCAGCCATCCAGCCACCCGCGTACCGCTCACCGTCCTTCCACACCTGTCAGTTCACAGTTCACAGCATGGTCTTTGGCCGTCCCGGAGATTATGTAGAGGCTGTCCTGGGGATATGTTAATCTAGACCATCTAACACGGCCAAGTTAGCACCGAATTACTTGTTGCATGTTTTGTTCAGATAACCAGCCGTGTCTTGACGGGCCATCAAGATCGTGTCTGTTGGGCTCAGTCCTATTCTCCTACTACTAGCGCAAACAATCCTGATAGAATTAACTGTAGTAATCGGCGCCCGGGTCGGCGTTTTCGTGCCCCACGTCGTCGCCTTCGTACTCCGACTACTAGTACTAGTAGTAGTAGCAGTAGCAGTAGTAGTAGTAGTAGTAGTAGCAGCAGCAGCAGCAGTAGTAGTAGCAGCAGCAGCAGCAACAGCAGAAGCAGCAGCAGTCGAATACGTCTACTGCAACTGCCACTGCTGCTGCTACCGCTACTGCTACTGCTAGTACACTACTGCTACTGCTTGTGCCAGTACTACCACTACTACTACTACTACTCCTCCTCCTCCTGCTGCTGCTGCTGCTGCTACTACTGCTCCTACTGCTACTCCTTTTCCTGCTGCTGCTTCTGCTTCCTCTTCTACACTTCTTCTACTACCACCACCCCGGCCACTGATTCTAAGAGGATCAGCAGGCTCTACCGTTGCGGTAGAACTATGAAGAGCATGAGCAATGCCTCCTGCCAGTATTCCGGTTCGATTGCGAACACTCTTGCTGCTATTACGTACTGTCACCAGTTTTGCAAAGCCTATACTCTCATCCACGTGCCCTAGACGACTTGACAGTCGGCACCTGACTTGGTCTCGACCAATTCTTTATTGTCAGGGAGGTGGGTCGAAAGTGTAGTTGACAATTCCAGAAGCCATCACACTGCCCAAGTCATGGAACATCCCAAATAAAAAAGAACACTGCATTCGGCGACCAGCTATTTCATGGTAGGCCTGAATGCCAGTTCCTTCTCGCTTGCTGCCATTCCACTGGCCAACATAGCTTGAACCTGGGCATGTGGAAGTCTGAAGTGAACGCGCATCATGGAAAGAACGTAAATCAAACACTTTGTCAGGAAAACCCGGCATGAACATCTTCAGTTTTTACAGGTTGGCACAAGCGAGGAAGCGAAAACCGCTGGAAATATCAGGCAATACGGCTCACAAGTGCCGCTACGATTCGTGGCCTTCTGGTTTGGAGCTGAGGGTCTATAACTTGGGATACACCGTATGCGGCAGCAAGCTCGTGACACCGTTCTGCAAGAAATGAGAAGAAAGGCTGATGGCAGTTTCTGCGCAGAACACATATGTGTTGCAGGTGAGCTGGATGATTTGAGTTTGCTCCACGCTGATGCTGACGCTGACAACGGCGTGACGGCTCTGAGCACGTTTCCAGAAGTTAAAGATGTGAAACTAAAGACAGAAGTGCATGAACACCATTGCCCTGAACCGTAGGCTGTTGTATGGTTGAGGGGCCAAAGAAGCCTTTTCGGAACCGACCACTCTTCAACCGATGGAGCTTGCTGGTGGTGTCCTGTTGGCGTCCTGTTACTCGTTCCTCCGCGATCAAAACGCTATATACCCATGAGGAGAAATGGCAAAATCCGATGTGCCTCGGTTCAAGCTTTCGCTCTTAATGTTCTTGAGGTTGAGCACCTGTATGTCCTACTTATGCAATACCAATAGTGGAGTGCCGCGACCCTGACATGAATGTCCCGGCCAACCCGCTGAGTGTTAGAACCATCTGGATAGATGAACTCCGGGCGGTCTTCAAGGTTCCCGATGTCGATGCCCTCAGGAGAATGCAGAGGACGTGCTGAAACAGCGTTGCAGAAGCCACAGCACAGCTACACAAACAGGTTCACGTGCCACTCTATACATGATGCATCAGTTGTCCTTCGTGAACCACGTCAAAAGTTCGAAGCTTAGGCCCCAGGAAGTGGAATGTGAATGCCCGCATGGTTCATCTGCCTGAGCCCTATAGCTCAAACACTCTTGATCCACTTCTTGTGCTGAGTGCAGACTTCACAGCTGTGTCACAACCCGTATCAACAGTCCTCGACCTGTAACATCCTGTAGCGCTCTATCGGGATGCATCAGTGCTGAAGATGCGTCGGTTTGTGAGAATGTGGCCATGTGAGCACGTGTGCATGTATGTGCGTATACGTACATATGTAAAAATCTGTCTATTTATTTATTTACATACAACATATGCATATGTATGTATGCATGCATGCATGTATGTATGTATGTATGTATGTATGTATGTATGTCTATTTATATATATATATACACATAAATATGCATATATATATATGCATATATATATATATGTATACACATATGTGTATGTGAATATATACATACACTGACATACACGTGTATATCCGTAAATGTTTAAATACAGACACATGTGAAAGTATGTATGCTTATATTCATATATACACGTATACATACCAATTTATTCTCTGTGCATAGATGTACACATATATATATATGTACATATATATATATATAAGGGGTCTGTAAAGAACCAGTATGTACAGGAGCGTACACACACACACTCCAATAGACTGGTGCAAGAGTATCTTCGGCTGCAAGATGCTTTCACGCAGGGACTGAGATGCTAGGATAAGGGGCCGAAGGTACACCTCACTTCCGGCCAGCCACGAGCCAAGTTCAGGGTATCTATTACACTTCATCGTTCACAGGCCTTGAAGCGGAGGCACGTGTCATCACTTTAAGCTTGCAATAGCACGAAGACCCCCCGAGCCCGGAGGCAACAAATGCAAACACCCACTGGTCGTTAAGCTTCCCGGTGCTCACAGCATGCTGCCTGAGGCAGGACGTGAGAGGCGGCTACTGTCAGCTCCGAGTCCTCCGGCAGCCACTTTCTATGGTAAGGGCTTTGGACAACCCTAACCCCCCAGGTTCCTACTATATAGGGCCCTAGGGGCTCTAGTACCCTACACAGAAGGTACCTGGGGGGTTAGGGCAAGCGACAGGAATCGCTTGACTTGCGTGAGGGCTTCTGTGTAGCGAGCGAGGACAGCAACAGCCTGCTGCATCTCTCTTTTGTTGGGGGTCACGACTTCTGACTTCTACCCGTCCACGTCGTTGCAGCCTTCTGACTTGACTTGACGAGCTGGGGATGTCTATTGGGAGGCATGTTGGCCGTGGAATGGACACTGATGACAAATCTCGCGCCTGGTTGTCCTGCGTGATGCAGCACCACATGCCTACAAGCTGGAGCTGGATGCTGAATGGGCTGATGCCTGGACAGCGGCGCGAGCTGCGACAAACTGGGTGTAGGTCGGCTTTACCTAGACACAAACATCGGATGCTGAAAACAGGTTTCAGAACCTCAGAAGACCGCTAGTCATCCGTCATGTCTCGAGATGCGGATGGGATGGAGTGGTGCTTTCGCTAGTTTCCCAACCCCATTCCTGATTCATTCCTGAATTCCTGCAGCCCCCTCCCCACACGTGCAAACACTACTGCCTTAGATCCTATAGACCCTGTGCCTGCAGCTGCAAAGGGAAGATGAAGAGATTCTCAGAAGGCCATACAGCCTCCTCCACACAGAATTTCGGTGTTGTAGAGCCGTCAATTCAAGGGCTGATGGGTGGCTTCCCGGCAGGCTTTGAAATCTCTTGACCCGAAGGTTCCTACACCAATTTACAAAAGATGCAAAGCCTGCAGCAATCGATACAGTCCGGATTTAGCATGAACTACTACTATAGTTACGGGCGAAACATTTCCGCGAACTAAAGCTCGCAAACGAAGCGGCGCAAGCAGCTTCGCTTCCCTCGCATGCTCCAGCAATGTCGAACTGGCAGGAGTTCTACTGACCGAGTTCCCTTCGAGTCCTCCACCAAGATCTTGGGCCGCAGGCGAGACGTTTCTCTTTGGAAAGCTCTCTCTGCAGATGTCCCGGTGTAAGTGTCGTCTGCTCGTGCTGGGTTTGACAGTTTTCGCAGTGTTGCGTGTCTCCGTCGAGCTAGGCACGACCTCTGTGCTCTACATCCTGCTCAACGTATGGCTGATGCCAGATAGATCGGCTCAGTGCATGGAGGGGCACTAGGGCATGATGTACCTCGACAGCTCTATGAGTCTACGGCAGAAAACCTTGAAAGCAACAGACTGCCAGACAATCAGAGGCTGCAGATGTCTCCGGAAGAAAAGAGCTGCATGCTGCAGGGGCTTTAGCCAGAGTGTCAATCCCGCCGACGCCCCAAAGCCTTAAACAATCAAGTCCAGACTACGAAACCTAGCCACGAATCTCCAAGACCTGTGATCTTAGGATGTAGTTCTGTCAAACCAGAGAGCCTATCGCACTGAACACAAGAACACTAACAGCGCCTGTCCAGACTGAGAAGCGTCGTGCCTGTCTTGCGAATCCATCTGTGCGTCCACCCGTCCGTCCGAACACCCGTGAAGACGTGCGCTTGCATACAGATACATATGACTTTAAAGAAACACATGGCAGGCCATTGTTGCGACACTGTTCCTGAGTGCGAAAACTGTGAGTCAGGCCGAGAGTGTAACATACTGTTGCGCTCCATATTTGAGAACTACGACCTATTATGTAGACATAGCATAACATGATATGATATGATATGACATGTTGCGAGAAGATCTCGCTTAGTTGGTATGAGATGACCTAGTATGATGTGACATGATGATGTGATGTGGTGTGAGATTGAATATTTGCACGATCATGTGTTAAGTATATTTTATCCTGTATGATCTTGCATTATGCTATGTCGTCGTCTTATGTATGTTATCCTATATGACCTTGCGTAATACTATATCACATTAGACAATAAGATATTAAACTCTATTATACTATATTGCACTGCGCTGTGCCATATGGTATCATGTTAAACTCATTTCCTTTATATGATGCGATGTTAATTGCCACATTGCATAGGACATTCTAGTCTAATAGCCTCGTATAGTATAGTATACAATAGTATAGCATGTACATTATACAATATATCATTTGATCATCGGTGCCTGCAGCTCCTTCAAATTGGAAATGCTTGTCACCTTCCGCCACATAAAGGACACCCTAAAGAGTAGCAGTAGACCCTACGTGCGCGCCCATGTTCCCGTGGCATGTTTTCTCACGTTCCGCCGGTAAGCAGCAGCTTCACCCGATCGTACATGAGGAGCTCGGGACCTGAGAAGGTAAAATAGGGGCCTTTATGAATTAGACTAGGTTTCTGGAGTATCTTATGCTACACTATACTCATAATAAGCAACATAGTGTTGGTAATCATTTAGGCCCTGTCTTTGAACTCCTGTGGATTTGGGCATTTAGCACGAGACAAGCTTGGCTTCCGGTCTTCGCACCACGCGTGGTCTTCACAGCCCCAGACTTGACTGCTAGTTACTCAGTGCTTGGTGCCATTTGAAGGAGGAAGGCGCCATAACGCCATGCTGGCATAAACTTGAAGCTTCATCGGCTGCACCACCCAAGTCACACCTGGGACATCGTAGCGATCCAGACACGCTCCGCTGTATATCTAAAGTGCAGGTGAGAGCTGTTTGCACATCGTAGAGTTAAGTTGCTGCACTTACATTGAGTGTTCCAGCGTTCCAAATTGACATGGGCATGCCAAGAGCACATGGGAGGGAGCCCTACGCTATACTATCCTTTCAAGTTCTCGATCATGGACGGTCAGGGCTTTCACGAGGATTGAATTCCAGCGCCGGGAAGGTGAATGCGGCGACAAAGGAACTCTTCGGCGACAAATAGCCGAGTCCTGCACTGCCATACAAAGCGCGGCTGACCTGCTTCCGAGCTGCACACCACCAAGTGCACAAGCACAAATTGCCTAGAACCTCCTTGTAGTTCGGAGTCTTACGTTCTAGGCTCAGCCAAAGACCCAACAACTGTTTTTTCTGTGCATCAGCAGTGTATCCATCGGCACCGGTTGAAGATGGCGGTGGCACTAACTACGAAACCGCGATCCTCTCAAATGAAATCAAGGGCTCCGAAGCCCAAACATAAAACAAGACAACACCTGAAACTGCAAGATTGGACTGCTCGTCAAGCCGTGCCGTATGATCAATCGCAGGAAACCCAGAGCAAACTTCCCCAAGCTCTCACGGGCTCTGTAATCCATGGACCCTTAGTCCCAGATGTCTCTGGCCTCGTCGGAGACTTCTTTCAGCTTCGGATCGCGACGTGTCCGCTCCTGACTGGCTTCTGAGGGATTTCGCTACTGTAGCATGAAGTCGCACATGAAAAAATCAGTGCCTGCTGTGTGCGTGCGTGTGGGTGAGTAAAGCCCAAACGCGAAAGCAAGTTAATTTGCAATGAAGGGGCTCTTCGCCAAGGTGTAAGTTTCAGTAGCCACCACTGGACGCCCAAGACAAGCGTAATCCCTCAACGAAGTCTGCAACAGGGAGATTCAAAGCGTGAAAAGGCATGTGACTGGGAACCGATCTTTAAAGGCCTCACGGCAACCACATGGGCCTGCTTGAAATCGAAAGCCCATGCGCCGGTTCTGAAAATTTCCTGATTTCACATACTGCTAGCGCCACCCGAACGGTGAACGAGTCCTGAATGGCCTCTTTCATCTCTTGGCTGCCTGCCAAGGAGGCCTGCGGAAGCCACGACAAGCGAGACAAGGGCCAACAGATTTTCGTACACGGCTCTGTGCACCCCTTCAACATTCCTGTCAAAGGGTTATGGCACGCTGTTGGCACGCTACGACACCAAACGGCTGAGAGGTTCTGACTTGAACTTTCCGAATCAGGGTTCACAAACCTTATTACCGTCTTTGAAGCATCCTGAAGCAGGGCAATGTCAGGGCAGTCCGTAAGGTTACACTACATTATATTATATTTAGATGACATCACATTAGGTTCTATTGGATTTTTTTGTATTATAAACTATAGTATAAACTATAGTACTTTTTTGCCATACTATACTATATATTGTGTACCATACTACATTATTATGATGTGCTACATAGTCTATAGTATCATATCATGTCATATCATACCATATATATATATGTTGATGGTTATAGAAACTTATTTTCAAGTCTTCCGAAAAGTCATCCGGCCTCGAAGCCCCACTTCTTCAGGATCGGTGTCTGCGCCTGGCTTTCATAAATGTGTGTAAATATTATATATATATATACACATGTATAAATAGATAAACAAATAAATAAATAAATAAATATGTACACACATATCATCGCCACCATCATTATCATCACATGATGCTGTAGGGTATTATGGTGCAAATGCGGGACAGGAGACGAACAGCAGCCCGGCTTCAAGTTGCAGCTCGAGACTGTTATTGCGGGTCCGAACGGAGTCTATACCAGGGTCTCGTCACTATGCACTATGAGACCCTTGTAACATATGCTTCCAGTACAGAGCATTTGGAACAGAGCGGATTGGACTCGGGGCTTCCTAAAGTAGTCTGTGATGTCTTGCATCTCTGCCGACTGCCTGATCATGAATACCATCTTTGTCTGGGGGTCTCTGTTGCGCCGGAGAATTTGTTGGCTTTCGGTGTTTAGGGTTTCGATCTTTGTCTTCCGGTTGCCTGATGTGGCAACGATGATCAAGACATGCGAAAACGGTAACAGCCACGGGCATTTGAACCCCAATCAACCATTCCTGTGCCCTTTCACGCATGAATCTCTATGGCTCTGCAGGCCACACCGACATCCCGTGCGCGCCTCGAAACTCAGCCGGGCGAGCTGTGGCGCGAACTCTCGCGCATCGAAGCGGACGTCCTGAGCATGCAGCGGTGTCGTTCTGTTGGCCGTCAGGCATCATGAATGGCTCTGTAACTGTAGAAAGACTCGAAATCTCCGGAGCCAAGGCTGCAGCCTTGCTTAGCTTGTCCACGCGGCGGACGAAAGAGGGTTCTGTGTAGGCCCGCCGCAGGTCCTGCTATACAGGCGAGTGGAAGCAGTTATCTGGAGAACCGAGGTCAAGATGACGCAGGGGTGCTGGGATGCCCTCCACAAACCAATGGGCTGTTGCAGTTTGTGGGAAAGCCCTGGTCTTCCCGCAGCCACATGCACCTCGATATCTCCAATTCGGAACGTGAAAGTCCGAAGATGTTCAAGGATTGAGCTGACTCCTCCAGCAGTTCTGTGGCACCTTCATGCGTAAGGTGCTTGGAATCACCGGAGCCTGGCACGAGTGAAAGCGTGAATGCAGCTCACCAACATTCCCATTGATGGAAACTAATGGTACAT